GATTCTCTTCATGTATTTATTTATTGAATTTGTCTTTTTGAGTCTTATGCCATTGGGTGTTTGGAGTTTTAAAAAGTATAGAGCTTCCAGTTTAGATGGGAAAAAATAACATACATGAAGATGTAGGGTTGCCTAGCACAGTGTGGCCACAGATATTCAGGAAAACAAAGTAAGACAACTATTCCAGCAGAGTGGAATGGACCAAAGAAGGCCTCTTGGAGAAGGTAGGTCTTGAGAGAGGTGGACAAATTGATCTGGGGTGGAAAAATAGTAAGGACAATGCATATGGAAGTAATATCCATTGAATAGGAGAGTCAGTGCAAAGATGTAACTCTTCATCCTTCCATGCACATCAACTTGCCATAAAGAAGAAATTAAGGCCAAAAAAAAAAAACAATGCTTTATGTGCTACATAATCCCTATGTGATTTCTGTCTTTATTTGACATTTTACTCACACCCATAACGACATATGTAAAAGTTGCCCTAACTAAAGTTAAACTTTTCATGTTTTTATGTGCATCTCTCCATACTTAATTGTGCAAGCAAATGGCTTGATCTGTAGAATCAAGAAACAACATTATGAAAATCAGCGAATAATACTAATTAGGAAAGTATATTTATGATACATTTTTAAAGAAAAAGGCTAGGCTTTGTTACAGCTAAAATTTAGTGTATGGAGGTCTCAGTCCACCTTACAGTGAAATGTAAAAATGTACTCTTGCTCTGCTGTCCCCACCACCACTGATACCACACAGACACCCCCCACCACACACACACAAACAGACAACAAAAGGCCTGTGAGCACAGAAGCAGGGATAACTTGGCCAAACTCGACAAGATGCACACAACTGGTAAGCTAGGAATTTCTGTTCGCCGTAACCTTTTTTGTCGTGTTCGGCTTATCACTGAATAATTATTTCACTTAATTTGATCCCTGCTTTTAAATACCTTTGAAACCCTTTCTAGGATAGCAACCCTTTGGAGTAGAATTGGAAAATGTTAACTGTACACAAGAATATTTTGTGCATAAATTGCCAAATCCTAGAATATTTGGAAAGAATCAGAAAATTGAGATTGGGTGCTCAGCCTGCATGACCTTGGTGTACTTCCCTCACTCTTTTATTTCACTGGTCTCTCCTGCATCTAATTTAATGAAACAAGAGCTGTTTCTGCAATGAGAGTAATCAGTGGAGGAAAAAAAAACACCAGAATAATGGCCTTTTCATTGAGTAAGTTCATGCTAAGTCCCTAAGAAATGTCCTTTTATGAGTTCGTTTAGAACAAATGCCTTCATACATGGGGGAAAAGTCTTCATAGAAAACCCTGAATCAGTGGATGCGGGGAGGCCAGGTAAAGTTCAGTGGCAAAGAAATTATTTTCATCTTTTAAACAAGTAATTAGTTAGCTATTCTGATCAGTATTAAGTAAGTTACATGAGGATTCATTTGCCACTGACTTCAATTTATAACTTTTTAGGCTATGGGGTACAATTCACTCTGCTTTAGTAGGAGCGAGGGAAACCTTGTTATCTAGGGGAGGGGCAGGGGACCACCTTTCTGTAAGAGTCATTTCAGAATGCATATATTTATACTCCTTTAAGAAATTTTCTCTCCAAGAAAGAACAACTAACGCAATGGGCCTAAGATTAGAAAAGCTGTAGCTCATTTAAAACAGTTTGCCACTTGAATTCTGAGAGAATGTAATTTCTTTAAATCTCTTCTGTGACATGCCACAGGGGTCTTTCGCTCCCTCGGTTACTTTTTTTTTTTTTGGTCTATTTGAAATTATCTGCATATTAACAAGACGATCTGTTGAGCTCTGAGGATAATTTATACTGCTGGCCTTTGTGGTGGGGATTGGGGGGAGGAGGGACGAGAGTGGCCTGGAGTCTGTTGTGCTTGGTTGGAAGTTTGCTGGGATGCTGGAGTCCCGGAATGCCGCGGAGGGCTCTGACTGTAATTTTGGGACCTTTCTACTAACAATTTTTTTTTTTTTTGTAAGAACATTGCAAGATGCTCAAATAACCAAGAAAGACAAAGGACTCTTCGGTGTTATTAGAAAGA